TTTTTTTGCCGGGAAACCAGGTTTTTATTGGAAAAAAAAAAAAAAAAAAGTTCAAGTCTAAAACGCTCAAAAGAATCCAGAAAAAATGCTCAAAGACGCTCGGCTCATGTGTAAGATGGCCACTGTGATGTCAAGGGGGGTTTATAAATATCAGCATTCTACATAGCCAATATAAAGATCTGATAATATATACAGCGGTAGCTTGGTTCACGAACTTAAAGTGACATGAAACCCTCAGATTTTTTAACATAAAACAATACAGTAATGTGCGCCTTCCTGTAATCCATGGTTGTTTCCCTTCTCTTTGCTGCTCTTCCTTTTAAATCCTCATGTCTTCTCATGCTGGGGGAGAACTTCCCTTTGCAGCTGAGTGCCTCTTCCTGTAGTGCTGGCTCAGGTTGCGAACCTGCACACAGACACCGTGTATCCATTCCAGAGACAAGGCACTCAGCTGCAAAACAGAAGTTCTGCCCCAGCATGAGAACAGATACGGATTTAAAAGGAAGAGCAGCAAAGAGAAGGGAAACAACCATGGATTACAGTGAGGCGCACATTACAGTATTGTTTTATGTTAAATAATCTGAGAGTTTAATGTCACTTTAATTCGTTCCACGATTCTGGTTGCGGACCGAATCAAATTTCCCCATGAGGTGGGCAAGTGTGCACAGGTCTGTCTGCGACTGCGATCTCAACAAGAGAAAGCCACTGCCACGTGTCAGAGCGGGGAAGATGACCGCGGTCGTGTTCATCACCCGATTTGGAGTTCGTGAATGGAAGCAAAATTTTGCCGAACTTCCTGTTCGCGAACTGAATTGTTCGTGAACAGAAGCGTTCATGAACCGAGGTACCACTGTACCTGACAAACACTTAATTTAAGTTTTATTTTCTAGATAGACTATTATTATACAGGATTTATATGGCGCCAACAGTGTGCGCAGCGCTGTACAATATAAGGAAGACATTAGAATTACAACACAATTCAAGACAAGATGGTGAGGAGGGCCCTGCCCCTGAGGGCTTACAATCTAAAAGGGGAGGGGCCAGTGACACATGAGCAGGGAGCTGTGTGGGGATGAATTGTTTGAGAAGGTGATGGATGAGCGGTCAGGTTGAGGTGGGATCGGCTTCCCTGAAGAGGTGAGTCTTACGGGATCACCTAAAGGCAGTCAAGGTGGGAGATAGACGGGCAGGTTGGGGTAAAGAGTTCCAGAGGATGGGAGAGCCTCTGGTGAAGTCTTGGAGAGGAGCATGGGAGGAGTGAACAAGGGAGCCGGAGAGCAGGAGGTCTTGGGATGAGCGGAGCGGACGGTTAGGGTGATACTTTGAGACAAGGTCTGAGATATAGCCGGGGGCGGAGTCGTAAATGGCTTTGTAAGTTATTGTTAATATTTTGGCTTTTTGAAAGTGTGGAAAGTGTAACGCCCTTTTCCCCCGAAGGAGCCGCTGAATAGAATGGGCCCGGCCCAGCCTGTCCAGGGTTTACTGGAGTGTCGCTGCTCCCAAAACACTTACCAACCCTCCAGCGGTGACTGATAAAACTGATGTCCACTGGAAGCGCAGCACCCCGCCTTCAGATCCAGATCTTTATACCAGAATTAAAGATGTCCATAAAATGGAATACCTGACCGCGAGGCTGAATAACACCCTGAATCTTTACAATAAGGTCTGGGAGGCATGGGATGAGACGGAGCTTGCTGACTGAAGTGGGTTCCCGGTGCCGCCCTCAGCGAACCTGCCGCTCCAGGCAAACGCCTTGTTTGCCTCGCGGCAGATACGCCCCTGCCGGTAATGTCTGCTGGTTAATATAGTCTTAACCTCCTCTGGTTGAATACACCATCTCTTACTAATGACTTGTTGTCATAATGGGTTTACTATGCATTACTGAGTGCCTTACTACGTGACAGTGGCTCTGGTCTGTATTCTATTTGCTTTTATGTTTTATATCTTCTGCTACTCCTGTGTTACCCGAGTATGAACAAAAAATCCATAAAAATTGTCAATTTGGAAAAAAAAAACTGATGTCCACACAGATGATGTGATGCTGATGAACTTTTATTGCACAACGTTGGTAGAGAGGGTCGGGGGGCACGGGACACCCAGGAAGTAATAGACTCCAATAATGAGAGAACAAAGTACTTTCACCCTTCACAGACAGAGGAGCTTCAGGCAAATTGGAGTAATCAGTGCCCTGAGCTCCTGGCTGTGCAGTACTAGATGCAATAGCTACCAGTCCATTGCAGATTAGATCACCCAGCTGCTGCTGAGGATTACTTCTCAAGCCTCCCACACCTACTGAAGTCACTCTCTGTCATCTCTATCCTCAGCTTCCTGAGACTCAGACCCAGGCCTTAGTCTGAGCACATGGCTTCCCTTCATAGGCTGCAAATCTAAAAGGGTCAGACAATCCACAGCACCCACCTTCTGCCTGGGGAAGAGAGAGATTGTCACATGGTCAGCCCTGAATATTTATGTCCTCCCCCCAGCATGCACCACTGGCCACCATGAACCTCCTTGTGATTGGCTAGGGAGGCACAGATGTTCATAACACACCATTATTGGTTGTTCTGCTCTGTAGCAAGGCTACACCTGTCAGATGCAAGCCATAACGGAGTGCTTAGGAGAAGCCAAATGACCCTAAACCAGGGGTAGCCAAACTCCGCCCTCCAGCTGTGGTGAAACTACAAATCCCATGATGCATCTCTCTCCGGGAGTCATGTCTGTGGCTGTGAGAATCTTGCAATGCCTCATGGGATTTGTAGTTCCACCCCCAGCTGGAGGGCCGGAGTTTGGCTACCCCTGCCCTAGACTGTCAAAACAGGATCGGACTGACAACAATCTGACAACATCTAAATATAAACAGTCCCTCCAGGTTATGTCCGGGTGGCTACAACAATCAAATATTTGTTGAGCATTACGGACGCTCGTACCTTCTTACCTTTGTTGGATGTGTAGCGCTCACCCCCGAAGGAGCCGCTGGATATGAAATAGGTTCTCCTACCTGTTTACGCCAGCCACCGGCCCCTCTACTCAGAACTAGCAACACCGACACTCCGGAACAAACAGGCTCAAGTCTCGGGGTCTTTTGGGCTATTTATTTGCAGATTCAACAGGAGAGAGAGGGGTTGGGGTCTGTAGGATGCCCTTGGAAATGCTTCAGAGGACTGCACTTTCTCCCTTAGCAACAGCCAAAGTCAATAGAACCGTGGCCCTATGAGAGCGACCAATAATATGGAGAGTACAGCGGACAGCCAGAATAGTCCAGGACTTTGAGAGGAAGGGACTATCGACTCGGGTAGCAACAACTGGCTTTTTCTATAGCGGTCACCTGGGAATAGGGTGAGGGGTCTCTTACAGGGTCCAGACGGCAACTCTTACCAGCTCCTCCGCGACACTCCTCAATAAGCAGATTCCACCTTCAGCCCAGCTTCCATCAGGTTTCCTTGTAGCTAGAACGGAAATCTCTGGGCCCTCAGCATCTGCCACTTGCTGAGGTGCATGCCAGATATCCAGGGGTGTATTCTAGTTCCAGGCGCCCAACACCTGCCACGTGTATGGGGTCCAGCAAAGTATCAGTGTATCCTAGGCCTCCAGGCCCCTCAGCACCTGCCATTTGCTGAGGTCCAGGCCAGTCACTTGAATCACACACAGACCTCCTGAGGAGAGGACCCAGGAGGGGAAGAGACCCCTGCACAGTGTCCCCAGACCTTGTATTACCTGCCCTCAGCCATGCCTCTGAGTCAGCCTGCTCAGTGATTGGTCAGAGTCAGGTACACAGTCATAGTCTGAGGATGGATGCTCCCTCACTGTATGCCAAGGCTCCCTTTTCCTCAGCAACAGGAGGAGCAATCAATCCAGCAAACTCAGGGACTGTAACAGGTGCACTCGATCACTCACCTGTTCCTCGTTCCAGGACTCCTCCCCCACTCCCTAGTTAAGGCTGAACGTTACACTTGCCTGACGTTCGAGCAAGTGTGAAGACGCCAGGCAAGTTCCTGTATCCCAGCACCGAACCTCTTCCTCTTATTGGGCCGGACAGAGCCCTCCAAAACCACCAGCACATCCTGCTTCGACTTCCCTCCAGCCTGCAATTCGGTC